GTCCGTCACGTCGCAGTTACACGAAGGGTATACTCTCGGTTCCATGAGGGTTACACACGCAGTTCCAATGCGACAAGTTTAATAGTCTGTTACATCGCAGTTACAATCGAGTTACACGAAGGGTATACTATCGGTTCCGCAGCGATGAGGTTATAGGGAAGTTACACTCAGATCATACGCTGCATGAGTGGGGAAAGTTACACTTGGGTTACAACGAAATTACAAGCGCGTTACTGGAGGCCGACCGCAGGAGGTATTGCATGGGTACAGCGGGGTTACAATCGAGTTAACGTCGCGGGCCAGGTCGACTGGTCACGCGCAACAAAACACCTATTTCATTTATAGGTTACAAGAGGTGGGACCGCCAATGCATAAGCGGCCTCCTCTTATTTGCTATCGTACGTAGTGCTGCGTACGTCTTACATACGCAAATTTTTCTCCTCCCAGCAAGACCACAACTCTCCATATTCCTACCTGTAGGCCGCCACTGCCGCTTCCCTACAGGCTGCAACCACCGCTTCTTTACAAACCGCAACTATCGCTGCCTCTTCTCATCTCTTCCAGTTGCTTCTCAGTCATCCTGCCCGCTGCCCCTACTTCTCTAGAGCAGCTGTTCGATGCCGATACTGTCGCTAATCTGCCGTCCTACTTTGTTCATAGCATCCCCCACCTCTTTGGTCTTCATCGCAGCTGCCAATCTAGCCTCCGACGACGTTCCTGCTTTTCTCCATCTGCGGTTCGATGTCTTTACTATAATGATCTGCTGTCCTACTTCTTCCACAACTGCCCACCAACTCTCCAACCTTCACTGCAGTCGCCAATCCAACCTCCTCTCACCGGACTCCTTCATCAAGCGTGTTGTGTCTTCTTTATGAAGTCGTTAGTTGTAATCATTTGTTTCGTGCTTTGGATTTGTGTGTTATCTTTCGTTATTCTTAGTCTTCATTGTAACCGTGTTTTAAATCAGTAATAGAATTGTGTCTTGCGTCGTGGTTTTGATTAACTCCAGTATCATTTGGTATCAGTGCTAGCCCAAGCCTAGTCCCATTCTAGGGTTTCTACCATTCACCTCTACCCAATCCACCACACCATTTTTATTTTTTATTTTTTTGCTTTTGTTTTTTTTTCTATTTTTTCTTTGTTCATCCTTTTCTTTTATTCCACAGATCTCAACCGTCAAACATGCCGCCAAGGAGAAATATGTCTGATTCTACCCCGTAAGAGATACAACGAGAACTTCATCGCCTCCATCAAAGAATTGCAGAGATTGAAGAGATGACATAGAAAGAAGCTACATACGATTGAGACATGGAGAGTCGAAGGGGAGAGAGAGAAGAGGATCTGAGTCCCTTCCATAGGGATAATTTCAGCGATGAAGAAGATAGGCTATGATGCTTTAGAATCCAATATCAGGGAAGGTTTAAAGAGGGATACCTGTGTCCCTCCCATAGGGAAACTTTCCGATAAGAGATGTCTTTTGGAGGGCAGCAAGTTCACTGGATCAGGGTAGATGTGCCCGAGTTTGTGGGGGCATGAATCTGGATGAATTTATTGAATGACTACAGGTAGTTGAGCGGATCTTGAATACAAAGAGGCATCCAAAGAGAGGCGGGTCAAATTAGCTGCTGTCAAGTTTAAGAAAAGTGCCTCCCTGTGTTGAGAGAACATACAACGACAGAGGAGGCGAGAAGACAGCTAAAACATTACCAGATAGGAGAAGATGAAGAAAACCACCACCACCACCACCACCACCACCACCACCACCAACAACAACAACAAAACCTTTATCCCACTAAGTGGGGTCGACTATATGAATCCTTTTTCTCCATTGATTTCTGTTTAGTGTCGTATTTTCATTTAATTCTAATAAATTAAGATAATTTTTTATACAATATGCCTAAATCTTTCTAAGCCTTCCTAAGTTGAATCTAAAACATCTACTCTCCTAATCAGATCATCAGACGGTCAACATTTAATGTGATCAAACTATCTAAGGCGACTCTAATTTTGTCTGTCATTGGAGCTACACCAACCCTATCACAAATATATTTCACGTTTTGTGTCTAAGTGTGAAGCCACTCATCCACCTAATCAGTCTCATCTCGGCAACACTTAACTTAGTTTTATGCTTCTTTTTTAAAGGCCAACATTCAATGCCATAGAGCATTGCAAAACACCACCATCTTATAAAATTTTCTTTTCAGTATAAGCGATACTTTTCTGTCACACAATAGGCCCAAAGCATTTCTCCATTTCAACCAACCAACTTGAATTCTACTAATAACATCCCCATCAATATCACCATCACTTTGAACAATAGACCCGAGATATCTAAAACATTCACACATTTTAATAATTTGATCACCCATAGTTACATTTCTATCAGTAGAGCTACTACTACTAAAATTACATTCAACGTATTCAATTTTAGTTCGATTCAAACAAAGACCTTTAGACTTCAAGGTAGACATCCATAATTCAAGTTTTTTCTCTCGTTTTATCCACGAAAAGGATATCATTAGTAAAAAACATACACCAAGGTACATCCTCTTGTAAGTGTCCAGTAAGACCATCCATAACTAAAACAAAAAAAATGTGAGCATAAATTCGATCCTTGATATAAACCATAAAAATAGGAAAATACTTGGTCAATCCTCCTCCTGTTCGAACACAAGTAACTACTCTAGTATACATATCTTTAATGACTTGAACATAAGTCATTCCAACACCCTTTTTCTCTAGAATTATTCAAAGGACTTCTCTTGGAACCTTATTGTAATTTTTTTCAAAATCAACAAAAATCATACGAAAATCATTCTTATTCTCTTTGTACTTCTCCATCAAACCTCTCATCAAACATATGACTTCCATAGTAGACCTGCTCGATATAAACTCAAACTGATTATGAGAAATTTTTGTATTAGGTTTTAACCTATGTTCAATTACCCTATCCCATAATTTTAAAGTATGACACATCAACTTAATTCCTCTATAATTAGCACACTTTTGTGTGTCCCCTTTATTCTTATAAGTAGGGGTCAAAATACTCCTCCACCACTCCTTAGGCATCTTTTTAGTTTTTAAAATAATATTAAAGAGTTGAGTAAGCCAAAAAACCCAAATCTCCTAAATATTTCCCCATTTCAATTGGGATATGATAAGGTCCTACAGACTTTCCACCATTGATTTTTCTTAAAGCCTTCTCAACTTCTTTTTTACTAATGCGGCATTAAAAATGAAATATTTAATTATTATTAATGATATTAAGATCACTAAGGTCGATCGTATTTTCTATAATTTCCTTAAAAAGTTTATCAAAATAAGTCGCCCACCTATTTTGAATATTTTTTTTAAGAAAAATACTTTTTTGATTTTATCTTTAATACACTTTACTTGAGTTAAATCTTTACTTTTCCTTTCTCTTTGTTTGGCTAGTTTATACACATATTTTTTACTCTCTTTAATATCTAATCTATTACAAAAATCACTACAAACAAAATTTTTAGCGTCATGAATTATTCTCTTAGATTCCCTATGGATTACCTTATATTTTTCTCAATTCTCTAAGCTTTTACATTTGAACTAATTTTATAAAGAAATTTCCTATATTTCATTTTTCCTTGCATATTATTATTGCAGCACAAACTATTTTTATTTATAAAAAATTTTTCTTTTGATTTTCTAAGCACATCTTTTACCACTTGTTTAATAGTGTTTGTTACTTTATCCCACATAGAATTTGCTTCTTCATGAACATCCCGTATCTTAAAATTTTAAAATTTACTCATAAAAATAATTTTATTTGTGCTTTTAAGTTCCTTCATCTAATTTTATGAGAATGTTTCATTGTATTTTTTTATCTTCCAACTCTTCCTAAAATCTAGAACTAATAATCAATGTTGAGTACTTAAATCCTCCCTTGGAGTTGCGTTACAATTTTTACATTCTTGATGATATCTTTTCTCATAAGAAAATAATCAATTTGTAATTTATTAGATCCATTCTTATAAGTAATAATATGCTTATCTTTTTTCTTAAATAAAATATTAGAAATAACAAAATCATAGTTAAATTAAAATCCAATATGATTTTACCTTTTTCATTAATTATTTCAAAATTGTAGTCACTATGAATATTTCTAAAATTTTCTACTATTCTACCAATATACCCATTTAAATCTCCTTCAATAAAAATTATTATTTCAAGAGATATCATTTGTATTATTTCTTCTAAATCATTCTAAAATTTTTCTTTTAAATCTATATTTAAACCTACTTGAGGAGCATAACCCCTTATAACGTTAAAAATCTTAGTATCAATAATAATTTTTAGGGCTATAATTTTATCTTCAATTGTATTAATTTTACAATATTATTTTTAAAACTATCATCTATAGTTACACCATCATTTCTAATGCGTTTTCTACATGAATACCAAACTTTATAACTTAACTTATCAATCTTCTTAGTATTTTCTTCAACTCATTTAGTTTTTTGAATATATAAGATATTTATCTTCCTATGAACCATAATATCTTATGCCCTCTCACACGACCAACTGGCAAGACAAAAAAATTCAATCATAAATTACCAAGAAATAAATATTTGTAAGGCTTGTATCTTTTAATTCTTTTTTTTGTTTTTTTTTGAAAAAAATGTTTTTTATATATGATTTCGTAGAAAAATTGGATAGCAAAGAAATGATGAAAACATGCAGCCATTTTATTTTTAGTAATAATTTGAAATGATAATTCAGTTTTTATAGTAGTTTGCTAAAATAAATAAAATGCACTTTGTAATTAGCAAACTATAAAACTACTTTTAAGTAAAAAAAAAAAATTAAAAAGTTGATAATTTTGGATGTTTATGTTTTACTAAAATAAAATTACAGTTATTTCAATTAAAATTTAAACTAAAGTTGTGGTACATAAGTTAAGAGGATTTTTTCAGGTCTTTCTGTGAAATTCGATATATGTTACAATCTTACAACGGTGAATGCAGGGAAGTGGAGGATTTTGCCCGAAGGTTGAATTCTAATTGGCTATCGTTAAGTCAAGAAAGAAGGCTTGTTCCAAATATAAAGAATGGCAATGGATTGCTCCCTAGATATGAAGGTTAGATTACTATTGATTCTGTGAATATCATTGCCGTTGGATGGTTACCATGCAAATGCTTTTATATATAATCTTTAGTATTGCTTCCATATAGTCTTCTCATAAATAACTATTTTATCTGTTCATTTTTCTTTCAATTTCCGTTTTATAAATAAAAAATAAAAAATAAAAACCAAAAAGTGATCTAAAAAAAAATTTAAAAGCTTTTTTCAAATTATAATTAAAATTATATTAAAACATTGTAATTGAAGTGCTGCTAAAATTTTTCTTGAAGTTATAGTTGTTGAATTATGCAATAGTTAGTTTTGATCCACAAGTCAACAAAGAAATGCAAATGAAGCTGGCCAACATTTAAACACTCGAACATCCAACCTTTTAGCCATTATCCTATGCATATGGGAATTTTTGGAGTTATCTATTCGAGACAATGCACCTTGAATGGAAAGCACAGTATCATGTTAAAAAATATTACTGATATATTATTAATCTGAGAACTTCTGCTTTTTAATGTCAGGACAAACCCTATTTGAGGTGCTTTAGGCTTTACATTTAATCATCAAGGGCATTTATATTGAAATAGATGAAAAGCAGGGCCTCATGTAAAAGAAATAACAAATCCCTAACAAAGTACTGGTAAATTTGATGATAGATCATATTAGCTCTGAAAAAAAAAAACTCATATTTATTACAAAATTTAAATTTAAAAATTCGTCTATATCAATTCCTCCGACAACAAACTGCTCTATCCCTGAGAATGGTAGTTAATACAATTGAAGTTAACATCCATTTACGAATCATTGAAAAATTGGAAGTTGTTCCATGCAAGAACACGTATGAAGTGGTCTCGAGGTAACATTAACAAACATATCTTGAAATAGCAATATAAGGATCAACGCTTGGGTTGATTTGTAATAGAAAGTCAAATCTTGATTTGAATTTGATTTTTTTAAAAGAAGTTGATTTATATCTCTTGAGCAAAAGAAGATGGCTGTTTTGTAGAAGATGGATGCTAGTGCCGTATATAAGATTGATAAACATATATAAAAAGGATTGATTAAAGTAACAAGCTAAGCTATGCTAATGCTTGAACAGAGTGATTGCCTTGAAAGGGTATTGAAGTCTCACAATTGATTAAGGATAAAAATATCAAAGTAGATGAAGAGTAGGGGATTTTACATTTGTAATAAGGTTTTTACCTTGTGTTGTTGTAATCTCCTATTTGAATTCAACAATAATATTTATTTTATATTGGTGTTTGATGAAGGCACAACATGAGCTTGTCCCTTTGGTTTCTTCCAAAGTGGAAATTGAACACTGCGAACAAGAAAATCACATAAATGTCTTTTTCTTTTTAATCCATCTTTGAAAAATTACGAAAATAGCAATGTTTTGGGTGCTATATATATGCAAATGCACCCCTCGCTCTCCACCCCACCCCGCCTCCAACAGTTTTAATTTGTCAAAATTTTCAGAGTAAGATTATTTTTGTTTAACTCTAATGATGTATCATTTTCCTTTGTTTAGGAACATGCCCTATCCCATAGTTTTGTAAACGTTGTTTTTTATATGGAGGATTTGAACCTAGCACTTGAAAGGGTCTGTTGTCCTTCCATTGAAGATGCCTGTATTTTATATTTTCTTTCAAATAAACATAAAATTTTGTGGATTCGATTTACTATCTTGCGTTCTTACTTTCAGAACTCAGGAGACAATTTATTTTGTTTTTTCTTTTTTTTCCTTCCAGTGTATTTATGTCTAATTTGTTTGTAAATATTGAAATGACTTTTAAAGAGTAGAAGACGTAACATATTTTTTGAGACTTAGATTGATTATTATAAATTTAGAATTCTTGTAAAGAGTGGAATAGAAAAGCAAATGCTAAAACTTCTGATAATGCATATAATAAGGTTAGGAAGTAGAAAATTAGAGATGTATACAATAATAACTAAAATAAGGGATAAGTGCTGAGAGAATTATATCAAGTTAAGAGAAATTGGAAGTGAATATAATATGTTTTTAGTCAAAGATGTTAAGTCCTCAACAAGATTTGATCTTTGCTACCAGGCATTGCCCTCCTTTTTTTGAAAAAATGATGTCCCCTCTATCTTGCTCTTTTTGCAGGATGTTTAATAGGTAAGCTGAAGCCAATTATGATTCTAAACTTATTATCTTGACTCTTTTGACTTTTTCCTTTTATAGAAGAACTAAATTTATAGCCTAACTCTACTTTTTTAGGTCAGGAAGAATAAATGAAATTAAACATCCATGTTGTCTTGAGTGCCACTTCATTAGTGGGACCTTGTAGGTGGTTTCTAAACTAGGCAATCATAATAATAGCCATTGTATATGTAATTTGTTCTATTATCATTTCTTTTACTATGGACAAAATTGTCTTTTTTAGAATTTCCTTCTTAGCTGAAAGAAAAATCAATATTTTAATATTTCTTTCCTTTTATTAACAGTCCTTATCACATTAATAAATGAATTGATCATTTGTATTGAATCTCTGAGACTTATCATTTAAATATTAATTAAAAAAAACTTTTTTTTGTTCTTCTGCATATTTAATATATTTCTAACTGTCTGCTGCTGTTTACTGACTAATTTTAAATAATTTCTACGTTTGATCAGGGAAATAGAGACCACCATACGAAGTTGTGAGGAAATAGCACTCTATACGAGATACATATATGGCTTTTGCCCTTTATTCCTTCAGTTCTATTGGGTGAGATCCATATGCTTCTTCTTCAGACCTGGGAGCATAAATTTTTTACTGTTGCGATAATTTTGGCGATCCTGGAGTCAAACCAAATAGAGCCCATGAGTCCATAATCCTCGTCGAAAATCATTTCTTTGATTTTTTTGTTTTTTGGTGCCGTGAATAATTGCAGACTAACATTTTATCACCATGAAAAGCTCAAGATTGGTTGAGTCACTTGTTTTACAAATTTCAATTTTATAATTGGTTTTCAATGTTGACTTTTTTGTGTTGGTTATAGGAAGTTCCTATGATATGGTTGCGAGCTGACCTGTGTTACCCTCGGAGCAAACCGTGTAAAAGACTTGTTCAAGTTTGTTGCATTATTATTCTTTTTTATTTATAATTTTTATTATTGTTATATTTGTGATTTAATTTTAGGATTAAATCGATCAATTTATGTTGGCTTATGTCTAGTTTGACTGCAAATTGTTCAAAATCTTGCTAAGTTTTGGATTCTCTTCTGTTATTGTAATAGTTGGAAAGTGTAAAGTGATCAATCTCTCTCTAATTATTATAATAATTGGAGAGTATGAAGTGATCAATCTCTGTTATTTGAAAATCACTTGGGGTTATTTGATATGCTGAAAAAAGAATGCTGAGTAAAATGAATGTAGTATGATTATAATATAATATATAATCAACAGTGCTTTTACTTTTTTGCATTTCTTTTCTATTAGCTAATGCAGCAAATGCTGTAGGCTCTTATTTATTTCTTGATTTATTAAATCCCCTCCATTCAATGATTGAATGGCCAGGGTTCATTACTTTTACCTCTCCAGTCATCCTTGATGTCTTTGATTAAAAATTAAATTTTCTCCTGTGCAGAAAATATAGAACATATGTTGGTTGGGCAACACCTACATGATGAAAGGTCTGATGGATACAAGTAAGAGGTAATCAATATATATATAATTGGTAGAGCTAATCATTCAACGAATCAGCCATTTTTCAAAGTTTACCATTCAAAATTTTATTGACTTATTTTCTAAATTCAAGCACCAAAATAGTTCTAAGCCTACATAGATTTTGTTCATTTTCGTTTGTACCTTACTAGTAATTCCTAGTCATAGTTGCTGAGCTATATGCCTCCTCCAGATCAGGTTTGGCCAAAAAAATACTACTACAAATTTTACCTAAATTAGTCCCATGCTCATATGTAATAAAAATACATCAATTTTCAGCATTGAGATCAAAGGTGATGATAAAAGCCCATTTTTTGTTGAGCAAATATGTGAAGTTTAATAACAATGCAAATGCATACATCAATATCTTCACAAGATTAAAAACCATGAAGAGGAGGGAGCTAAAACTCCTCAACCACTAAGCCGCGCGCCAGTCGAACGAATGTAAGATGTTAGAGAATCAATAACAGAAAGAATCACATGATTCATGCCGGTTTCACCAATTTTCTCTATCCGCCACACATCAATTAGAGCTCTTTATTGATCATCATTTTTGGTTGTTCTAGCATTTAGTGTGCCATCAATCATACTATGCACAAAGATTCACCTCCTGTAGAAAGGCTTCAGTAACTCTGCGGTAACCTGGGACAAAGGTAATGGAAGGAAGATATAAGTTAGTTTCTAAGTTTTTCTGGCAAGAGAGAATGAATTATCCCAAGAAAAATATTTGCTGGGTATTAAGTCCTCATTTGTAAACGTTTTATATTTTAAAGAAAATCTACATACATATCACACAATTCTTATATATTTACATATGTGACACCTAAAATTTGTAGTTTACACTAAATATCACATTGGTGTCAGAAACTTATGCATGAAAATATGCATTTCATTTTTAAATGAATAGTGATGATAATATTTTTGATGTGATGTTAAAGAAGTAAGTGGTAATTATGAGGTATGTATGTGAATGCCAATTTGGAATAAATACATAAGAATTATGAGGTGTATATGTGAATGCCAATTTGGAATAAAAATAAATAAATAAATCTACTTACCACCACGGAAATTGACTGCAATCAATTCCACCTTGCTGCAACTTTTGGTATAGCTTCCCTGCCCTCTTTCCTATCATCAAAAAACATCTTTCTATCACCTTCAATCTGATATGTTTCATGTCCTTTCCCAGCAACAACCTATCAAATTTATACGCCAAGTTACACTTTGAATTCGGCATCACAAAGAGCTTTGCAGAGTATATTTCTTGTCCAGAAAACGGTGAACATAAAAAACAAAAGAAGTATATTCTAATTGGAACCACGACATTTGCTGAATATGAAATAAGCATAAAAAATCAATCTGATTCCCATAACACAAAGATAAGGAACTTACAACTATATCTTTCTCCTTTCCCATGGCAATGGCAGCTCTCAGAGCCACTCTTCTGTTCTCATGAACAAAAATTCTGTGATTGTTAGGAAGGGGAGGATAGCAATCACTCTCACCGATTTGTAGATAATCGTTTATCGTCCAACCAACACCATCCAACATATCATCTAAGATATCCACTGTGAAAACACAAAGCATTTTGAGAAACTCGTGCAGTTTAGTTGTTCATCAGTTAAAGGCTGAAAATTTTGTCTTGATTCAATGTGATCAGAACGAATGAATTAAACAACGGCTCGCACTACAACTAGGGCGGGCGGTCATCTCACTTACTAGATAAGGGACGTTGTGCCTCACAAACCACTTTTGATTTGAAGAAACAAAATACTCACTCGGATCTTCGTTCCTTGGATTGTCTGATGTAAGAATAACCAGATCACTCTTTTCAGCTGCAATTTTAGTCATCAAAGGTCGCTTTCCCTCATCTCTTTCTCCACCACATCCAAATACTGCACAAAATGACAAGAAATTTTTTTTTAAAACATATACTATTCCACATTACTTGAACGCAAATACAAAATTTTAAGCTTGCTTTTCGTTTTTTTTTTCACTTTTTCTTTAACCATAGCTAAGTATAACTTAATTGTCTTTGTCAAAATTTATTGCAATTCAGTATTTTAGGACATAACCACACTGAATAAATGGATTTCCATTTGGATTTATTAAGTGGCACAAACCCGTATATGTGATGGTTAATGGATCCATCATTCTTTCAAGGAGATTTAAGTGTAAAAAGCTAGAAAACAATATAGGAGTTACACTCTACAAAACACCTTAAAAAACACTAAAATTGATTTAATATTTCACACACAAAATGAATACAAATGAAATCATGCAAGAAATTTGTACTGTTCACATGATTCTAAAGCTAAACTAGTTGCCTAGTTCATCTTTTCAAAACATTGATCATTTCAGAATTTTCATTTGTTTAATATCCAGATCACTCCCAATTGGTCCATTATGAAATGGAAAATTGAAATCCATATGCCAAGTAATTTATAACTAATTATTTTAGGAAGATTTACATGCATAACCACTCAATTCTTATGCATTTGCATATCTAACCCTTCATGAAAATAGTATTATTCTTTATGCCATATGAAAGATTTGGATGTTATAAATGCAAAAAAGTGAATTTTATATGTAAATACATAGGAATTGGGTGGTATGCATGTATAAGCCCCATCATTTTATACTTGCATCATCATAAAAATAAAAACACTTAAAAAAGAGATGAGTTTTAGGGGGAAAAAAAACAGGAAATCTTCATACCAGTAATAATTCGCTTCGACCCAAGTTCTCTCGCAGCATCCAACAGGCGCGACAAAGCATCTGGCGAGTGCGCGTAGTCGACGATCACCGGAAACCCTTGATTCTCATCAATCAACTCAAACCTTCCCGGAACCCCTTCCATCTGTTCTATCCCTCTCACAATAGCCTCTAATGGCACATCCACCGCTATCCCCACAGCAACAGCAGCAAGAATATTGTACACATTATACCTTCCAATTAATTTGGAGCAAATCTCCACCGTACCCTTCGGCGTGTCAGCCAAAATTCTGGTTCTAAACAATGATAGATCGAAGTTCAGCGGCCTCACATCGGCATCCTTGTTCTCCACTCCATAAGTCACCACTGGGACATCCGGATTCCCCTTAGATAAGAAGAAATAAGCGTTTGGGTCATCGAAATTCACAACTTTCCTGTGTTTTGCTGGATCGATCATTCTATCAAACAAAATTCCCTTGCTCTTTCTGTACTCATCTACGGTTCCATGGAAGTCGAGGTGATCTCTGGTGAAATTAGTGAACACTGCAACGTTAAAATCAATCTCGTCGCACCTTCCTAACACTAAACCATGAGAAGAAGCCTCCAAGACGACAGCATTAGCGCCATTGTTCACCATCTCTGCCATCAGCTTCTGCATCAGCAGAGCATTGGGAGTGGTGTTGGGAGCTTCAAGCCGTTGGTTGCCGTGAATGTAGTAAGCGATGGTGCCGAGCATCCCTATTCTGGACCCCATGGCTTCGTAGATGGATTTTATCAAATGGGTTGTGGTCGTCTTACCGTTTGTTCCCGTGACGGCGATTACGCAGAGCTTCTCCGAGGGGCGGCCGTAGTAAGATGCGGCGAGATTAGGGATTGACGAGAGGGTGCTCTCCACAGTGATGATTGCCGGGCACCCCACCGTCTCATCTCTGTCGAGTTCTCTTTCAGACAACACGGCCACTGCGCCGTTGTTGATGGCCTCCGATAAGTAAGCGTGGCCATCCGTTTTGGAGCCGAGACGGCAAATGAAGAGATCACCGGGAACCACCTCTCGGCAATCGTCCTGGATGCCGGTGATGCGGGTGTTGATATCGCCGGAGATGGATAGAGGGGTTATTTTGCTCTTTTGCAGGAGGTCGCGGAGGGTGACGGTGAGGATTTGTTCGTTGGGGAAGAGAGTGAGGTCATGGAGTACATTTGGGTTCTGTTGGATAGGGTTTTTGCTGCTGTGCCTGTTATCAAGCAGTGTGGGAATGGAAAGAGAGAGGGGAGATGGGGAGAAGCTGGCAGTGGGCTGGTTTTGTCCGGCGGACTCGGCGGCGGCGGCGTGGGGAGGAGGAACGAGGCGGCGGCGGATGGAAAGGGGAGGTTTGGAGAAGGAGAAGGATGCCAGGGAGACAGTTGGGATCGCCATGGATGAAGAGAGAGAGAGAGAGGAATGAAAGCGTTGTGGAGTGTCAGAGGTGAAGTTAGCAGAAGGTATTTATAATATTTCACACTTATGTGTTGAATTATTATTAGCTTTTTAGATATATAAATAATTATTTTAATTATTTTATTTAATAATTTGGGGGTCAACTTCTATACTAGTCACATTCTCTAATTCTTTCATAATGTCTTTAACCTTTGTGTTATGGATAGGATACTATTAAGAACTCTATATTGATCAATATCCAAGAATGTTGGAGGAGTGTCCATTAATAAGAACCTTTCAAAAGCATTAATAACACCATAGTGAGATTTGTAGCCTTAAGAGTAGGCTCATGTTCAATTTTTATATTAGGGGCATAAATTTGATAGTATGCGACTCCTTAATAAAAACCTTTAATAAAAACCTTCTACATAGAGGCAACAATCATGGTCTCTTGCAAATGCAAAGCAAATAAAATAGAGGTTTATGCACATTGCACATTGTTTATATTAATGAACAATGAAGAAGAAGAATGCGCACTACATTAGCTATATGGCCTATATCATCCATTATCAATGGTCCAAACACACCATGATGCACAACATGCGTCATAATGAAGCGTGGCAAATGAAACTCTTATTATATTATAGCCATTCACATTCGTGATGAATATTAGAGAGAAAAAAATTAAACGTATTTAGATGTAGGATTGTAATTGTGTTCGTTTTAGAGGGATGATAATTTAACTTGTTTACATAAAAACGATACGATTGAAACAAATATGTGTGTTTTCATTTCATTTGATGACTTGAAATATATTGGACTTTAAATTTTCAAGCCCTCGTTTTCAATCTTGTCAGCCGAGCAGATGAAGTCTTTCATTGCTAATTAATATTGATCAGAAATATATAAAAGTTGGAAAACTTTGACAATAATGGGGGCATGATTAGGTGTTGGTATGACAATAACTGTCTAGAAAATATAAGAACATTAAGGTAGTAGTTTAGAGATTCTAGAATCTTTCAAAGCTTCAAATCTATTCATGCTTCTCAAATAGTCAAAGCTGAATATATATATATATATATCCCCAACTCTCATATATATATATATATATATATATATAAAGTGTGGAGAGCTAAGGTCAAACATTTTTATGGTGCTAACTAAATCCTTATTTGGAACTATGTTGAGAATTTTCTTATAAGCATGCCAAAGTTTATCTTGCATAATCAAATAATATTTAATGATCTCACTCCTAAACTAACTTAATTGACCTACTTGAGTCATGGTGAACCATACAACTAATTGATTGTTATGGCTCAATAGCAGTATGATAGTGACCAGTAATAACAAAATTATCGACAGAAGAATGAGACACTATTGCACTTCTCTCAACATAAATTGAGCTAGAAGAAAATTTAATGGTCAAAACTTTTGAAATAAGAATTACATCACGCGTCATGTTTTTATGTCACCAAAAAAAAAAAAAAAGATATATTTAAGCGCTAGCTTGATATCAATTTGTTTAGCATAATGAGTGCGATATGGTGTTATTGATGATTTTTGAATTAAATGTTTAACCAAGTCACACTTATTTTCATAAAATGGAAGCATCAAAAGAAACTTTTTTATTCACATTCCTTAAAAGCATGAGATAAAGTAAAGAATATAAATAGCCCTTTATAACATTAAAATAACTCTAAAAATTTATCATCTACAAAACTAACACTCACGACGAACCAATGCATTTATGCATGTCAAGATCAAATAATTAACAATTTGGTAAAAATGAAAAACATAGATTGAGATTTTATAGTGAATTTTGGTATTTCAGAATTTAAAAAATAGATGAAGAGGGCTCCAAACTTGAAGATAGAAATGTTTCAAGTGCTATGTATTCAATTGCCCCCAAAGAACAGCAAAACAAACACCCGAATTCAAATGTTTCTCTTAATATAAATGTATATTTGCATTAGAGAAAGTGCTCCAGAGATTTCAACAGAGTACCATGGAAGGACACAGAATATTACTACATAGCAAATGTTACTTCAGCAAGGCATTAACATTGTTTTCATCATTTTATGCGTTTTAGGCCGCATATATTATATATACCGCGCATAAATATCCAACATTTTCGTACTTATTAATGGCATATTAGTTGAGGTTTATAATCTTTGAAAAGTCCGCTGTCAGGTCCCAGGGCTCAACCTTGGACAAGCAGTAGAAACTACCAAGCTGGAGTAAGGCATCGACAGAGGGAATTTCAGGTGGAGCGGTAAAATGCGTAGTGGTCGGAAAGAACAACGGCAAAAGCATTCTGTTGGGCTGATATTGACGCTGAGAGACGAAAGCTAGGAAAGCAAATGAGATTAGATGCCTCTGTAGTTCTAGCCATAAATGATGGATGCTAGGCACTGTGCGTATCGACCCATGCAGTGTTGTAGCTAACACGTTAGTGCAAAATTACTGATTATAATCGCATATATTACCCTTTGGGCTCACCTTCACCCACTATTAATATATATATATATATATATTTTTAATTCAGACGTAGATCCTTTTAAAAGGATGCTACCAAACACCACCTCGGAGTCTATAAAAATATTAATCTAATCCTCAAATTCTTTTAATATGGGTTAAAATAATCTTCCGAACTGGAATAGTTTACAGTAAATTTTTGAAGAAATTGGGAAATTTCTGTCAATGTTTTATTTCTTATTTTTTTATTTTTTATTTAAGAAGATTTGCATAGATACCACTCAATTCCTATGTATTTACATACCAAACATATAAACTTCAATTTTACACACATACCACTTTAGCATTGCATGAAAAGGTTCATTTCATTTTTTAAGTGTTAAAAATAAAAATATATTTATTTCACCGGATGGTATAAATGTAAAAAGTAAAATTTAGGTGTTGGTTATGTTAATGCATGGGAATTGGGTGGTATGCATGTAAATGCTAATAGTTGAAATTTGCATTATGGATGAATCTAGCAGTAGTCAAAGGCAAACTAAAATTGCATGTTGAGGTTTGTAATGAGGTAAATCTTATGTTTATTTTACTATTATTATTATTTGTGTCATATAATATGAAGAGCACTTCCTCCTTTACCAAGTGATTTTTTTGAACTATCTAACCGATATGCTTACCCTTGTCATGATCAAATTATTGAGAATTTGAAAAAAAATGAAAAATATGAGTTGGGGTTTTACCATGAATTTTGATATTTGAGTGAGAATTTGACGAGTGGATGATAAGGGATGGTTGATTTTTGGGGGTATGTATGTAATTGCCCAAATAAAGAAATGCCCACATTATGCAAAAATAAATAAATAAATAAATAATTAGTCAGAAAGTTGAAATAATTGTAAAATTAGAAAAGTGCCATAAGAGCATGAAGGCAGTCTCTGATCATTTTTGGCATCTCATCATATAAAACGAGAATAATTAATTGGCCACAGTTTCTTTGGTTGTGCCCAAAAAGCTTAACTCTTTCTTTTAATTATTGCAAAACATATAATTGACAAAAGTGGGGGAGGAATGGGATTGATAATAATATGAAATTTTCTTTAATTACCAAGTTAATCATTGAATTGTGTAAGCAAATTTCATGTCAAAGTGTACTACATGGTACATGTATAAAAGAGACCACCATAATGATATTTATTCTTTTTCCTTTTTTTTTTTTTTGCTATCAATAAAAAAGTCACATTCATTCTTTTTGTGAAATATGTTATGTGAGGTTTGTCATATGTAAAAAAATATGGAGTCTGGAGTCTGGACACAAAGCTACATCCAGATAACAGACGTGATACACATCGTGTCTATTGTCCGGACATAGCTTGCGTCCGGACTCCGGACGCAACATTTTTTTCGCACTTTATAGAATTCATAGGTACAAGCATGATGCCTCAACGTGATCTTAATGGTCTCCAATGAGGCGCTGTTATTGATCTCTTGTTTTAAATTCTATATTATGGCACCTAAACCATACAACCCAACCTCAACTCATCTCCCAAACTTGGATCTTGCTCCCTTTCGAGGATTGCGCTATCACGTGAAGTTTACTAATGTGAAACTAACTACATTGACGGAATAGGAGAACACTCTCAACTCTATCCCAAGATCAAAATATTAGACTAGTTGGGCCAAATCCCTGCCAAACATTTTTTATACTTTGGCTCAAGCCTAAACATTAACCTTACATCCTAATTGGGAAGCACAGCTCTTGTTAAGACTGCTTGGAGTTTAATACAACCATTTTAGATGATTCACTATTGGCCTAAAACTCTCCCTAGATCAACGAGCGACAAGTTGGCATAGTCTCAACCATTTCCCTTTGTGTAAGACTCTAGCCATCTCAATTGGTGCTATGCATCACCTTTCTTCCAAGCATCTCTATGAGCTCATATCCCAAGCCACTCTCACCACTACCATCTACTTCTCTAACTAGCTCCTTAGGACCCCTAAGCAAAGACCCTCACTAGCACCCCCATCAACTCTACCAGGCATCATCCCTATTAGTGCCATCTTAGGATCATCTCGAAGAACCCATCTCTTCGCAATGCCTAAAAAATTTCTAATATTACAAAATCAACTTTATCAACAGCTTTTGTGAGAACTCGTCCCTTCTTAGCATCTTATCCCAAGAACTCTCATCCATTCTCCACCACTAGTCAACACTTATACTCAAAAGTTTCCCTTCTCGAATACTCCTCTCAATGAGCACGCCATTCTAGGCGCATTGTTGTCATCCTCTCCCGAGAAGACGTCCTCAATAACATTATGATCTGTCTTCGGCCATCATCTCACCAACTAGGAGCCATCTCACCTTATCTATTCTGAACAACAACTCCTTCAGTTTGCACCAGCTCGCGTTGCCAAATTAGTAGATACTTTCTCGGTGTCCAGTACAGATTTCTCAATGAAATCTCTGTGTCCTCACTCCAATTTAGCTAACAACAGCTTGTTTATGTGCTAGTATCGGCTTCTCAGTGCCATCTCTTCTTTTTGGTCATTCATTGACAACTCTCAATTTTTACCTCACCATTATGAAAGTGTCAGGACTGATTTCCTGCAAATTAACAATGCTGACAACTGCCTAACTATGTAGACTTGATTGTGAATATTAGGGTCTAACACTATTTCTTCTTTTCAACCTTCAAACTAAATATTTTACATTGATTGACCAGCATATAACATTAAAGAAGTTCATAGACCTCCATTGTTTAGATCTCGGTCAACTAATAGAATGTACAAAAATAGAAGAATTCTACAGTAATTGAATGATATGGTACCTTTTGGCTTTTATTCGAGTTAATTTACTCTTCACCAATTGCCCAAAATAAAATATTAATCCTGAAGAAAGCTTTCTACTTAGGTAAATGCTATGCTGCAAAAATCATAGCTCAAAAAACAATCTTCATTAACATATATTTATAATGTTATTAATACAATTCTGATGACTGTTAACAACTTTATATTAATATTATTCTGGTGATTAATATATTTATGATGACTGTTTAACATATTTTTAATAACATGATACTAACGGCTACTAAATAATTTTTAAAAAAATAACCTTGCCTTAGAGCGGGATAACAAAACTTTTGATGCAATATAAGCACGAAGTCATGATTCTCCTATGGCCAACACCCTGAGCATAACGAAGCCTGCTGGGAAAGACAACAGCAAAAATGAGTGTGAGTGAAGAGTAGTATATGAAAAACATTCATGAGCAGTTCAAAGAAACATTTAGATATATTTCTCCCAAAAAAGAAAAAAAAAAGAAAAAATTGCATGCATACCAAACAATTCTTATGTATTGATATATCTACTACCGAAAATTTAATATTTACGTTTATAACACTTTGGTGTCACGACCTATGCATGAAAGGATATACTTTAATTTTAAAAAGATAGCGATGGTTATTTTTTATGTGGCGTTACAGATCTGAATGATATGCATATAAATATGAATGTTTAGGTGTTAGATGTGTAAATACATCATAATGCAAATAAGTCAAATTTCTTCTTCAATTCTGATAAAGCAAATTGTTATTGAAATAAAAGTAAAAACGAAGCCTTGCTTTTCGAATTCTGTCATGAAATGGGCTCTATTATTGCTAGGAACCTGAGATCAAGCTCCAAATTGACAGAACTTCACTAATTCACTTTTCTTCTATCTTAAAGATCCAAATTTGCAGAAAAACACACACACGCGCGCGTGCACAGAGAGAGAGAGAGAGAGAGAGAGAGAGAGAGAATAGATTCAGGAGGGTCATCTCTTACCACTATACCAAGCAATCACCACGCATGTTGCATGAGAATGAGAATTTGGTTCAGTTGTAAGTGCCAAGCCATGAGCAATACTGGAGAATGAAACAATGGATTACAGTCAACATGTTGAAAACTAAAAAGATTATTGGTTGTAAATAATGATCAGAAAGTAAAATCAGGAAAAGTTTGCACAACTAATTTATAGTCCTATGTTGGTTCCGAAAATTGGGGTTTGAATCTTCTAAGAGAGTTGGTGCAAGTCAAATTTTCAGGGGTATAGCGAATTTTAGAAAAGATGTTAACTCAGAGATATTACTGTCAACTTGCCAAGAACTTATATATGATTCTAGATTTCTCGTAAGCACAATCTTCTATGGTTAAGAATTCCCACTCGATCACATAAGAAAACTTTTGATTAAAAATAGCTGGTAAGTACCAAATGCTTAGTGTATGATAGCAAGAATTTTAATTTTAGGTTGAGAAAATTTACCACTACTAACTTAAAATTGGTAGTGAGGAGAATGATGACAAATCCGAGCAAAATCCTATGTTCCTGTCATTTTGGATTATAATAGACATTGCCCTATTTAATCAAATAATTTTGATCAGCAACTATGAGTTGCTTCATTCAACAAAAACATAGATGCTTAAGGTGGACGTTTTGTCCAAGAGAATTAATTCAAGTTGATAATAGCTACCATAAAATTTTGTGGCCTAAAGTACACTATAATTCAGCGTTATTCAAAGAATTAGATAACTTATATGTTTTGGCCATGATCAAAATTTAATGATATCATTTTGTGTTAAACCATCCAATCAAAAAACCCCAGTTGTAGCTTACCTCTCTAGCATTATTTGGCGGTAATGCTACCATGTTAGAGAACACATCACTTCTTACTAGCATAAGATTTTTTTAAGTGGTTATGGAAATGGCCATAATAAGATATTAACTCTTTGTAAGCTTAAATTTATCATAAACTTGACACCCTCAATAAATTATTGCAGGGAATGGATGAATATTTAAACTATTTTTTTATAATATTTGTAATTTTATTTTAGATTTTGCATTTTTATTTGTATTTGGACTGAAATAATTTGGATTAGGATTTGTTGTCAATACAATTGATTTAGAGTTTAAGATTTTGCATCTACGGTTTGATTTTATCATTTAGCACTTAGTGTTTAGAGTTTAAGGTTGTTGGTTTTAGGATTTAGGATTCCGTTGGGTTTAGTGTTAAGGGCTGATAGTTTGGGGATTAAGGTTTATGGTTTACAAGGTTTAGCGTTTAGGGTTTAAAATTTGAGGTCTAGGGTTTAAGATTTAAGGGATTTGGGTTTTAAGATTTAGGATTTAGGGTTCAAGTTTTTAGGATTTTTGGGGTTTAGAGTTCAGTTTTGAGGTTATTAGCATTTAGGGTTTAGAGTATAAGGTTTAAATCTGAAAACTGAATTTTATCATATAAATCTTATTAACTCTACCCGTTTTCTTGCAGAAGATTTGATTAATAATTTGAGTATGATTTTAGTTCACTTGAAAAATTAATGGGCTATAAAACTTGCTGACTCTAAGACGCGGAAGCTTACCGCAAAATCCCATGACACGTTTTAGAGTAATTTTTTGGATTGTGTTCTTGTCAAGACAGTTGTTGCATCAAGGTTTTCCCCTTCTAGTGTTGTATCTAAAGGCCAAGGTGAGCCTCCGGTTGTAACTAGTTCGAAATGGTGATCTCCTTCCAATGGATTGAGTGGTGCTCTGGCTTTAACTCGTTCTCACAGGGGTATTTATCTCCGAATTTTCCATCCTCCATATTCCTCCCCTCATTGTCGTTGCCACCTTTCCTTGGTGTCAGAACCACCTGACAGCAACCCTACTATGGTCCAACAATTTTAATGGCTTGAGGATGGTTACTTATTTACAGCTTGAATGGCCTGAGGTTTAATTCGTGAAGATACTCATTCACATATAATAGTTCCAGTTCTGGTTGTGCCAAAAGATGATGGATAATTATTCTATTAGGATGTACTTTGGAATGTTGACGCCAACATGATTGACTTGCAGGCATATTACAACGTTCTCATCACTTTCAACATGATTGATCTGACACTATTCTACAATGAGCCAAAAGCTTCGACAGATGAGATCGAAGCTCCCTCAACTCCAGAAGACTGACGCGGGAGCTTCCCACATAAACCCCTATCGCATTCCCTACTACAGTATCGAAACACATCTGAGATCCCTACTATAGTACCACAAATAGCAGCAGGAGATCAATGCTTGGACCGGTCCAAGAAGGTCGGTCAACCCTTCCTTTAAGTGGATTTCCCTCCTATTTGGAGTGAGATCAACTCATATTTACCTTCAACAACAACAACAACAAAGCCTTAATCCCACTATGTGGGGTCGGCTACATGAATCCTTTTTCTCCATTGCGTCCTATTTAGGTTCTAGTAAATTAAGATCATTTTTTATACAATAAGCCGGAGTCTTCCTAGGTCAACCTCTGTCTTTCTTAACACAAGTCGAATCTAAAACATCTACTCTCCTAATCGGATCATCAGATGACCGACGTTTAATGTGATCAAACCATCTAAGACGACTTTCTCTAATTTTGTCCGGCACAGGAGCCACACCAACCCTATCACGTATATATTCATTTCGCATTTTGCCACTAAGTGTAAAGCCACTCATCCACCTAATCATTCTCATCTCGGCAACACTTAACTTATTATTATGCTTCTCTTTTAAAGGCCAACATTCAGCGCTATAGAGCATTGCAGGTCTCACCATCGTCTTATAAAATTTTTCTTTTAGTCTAAGCGGTACTTTTCTATCACACAAAAGGTCCGAAGCATTCCTCCACTTCAACCAACCAACTTGAATTCTACTATTAACATCCCCATCTATATCACCATTGCTTTGAACAACAGACCCAAGATATCTAAAACGTTCATACCTTTTGATAATTTGATCACCCAAAGTCACACTTCTATCATTAGAGCTACTACTACTAAAATTACTTTTAGGGCAATTTTTTTAGATTGTTCTTTTATTAGGACAGTTGTAGGCATCCAGGTTTTTCCCTTCTATGGTTGTATCCAAAGGCAGGTGGTGCTCCGGCTATAGCTCGTCCTAGGTGGTGTTCTCCTTCCAAGGGATAGAGTAGAGCTCCGACTATAACTCATTCTCAGAGGGGTTCTGATTCTTCCATCCTCCACATTTCTCCCCTCATTGCCTCCGCCATCTTTCCTTGTTGTCGAAACCACCAAACAAAAACCATACAATCGTCCCGCAACTCCAACTGTCAGCCACCACATCCTCCACCTGCTGCCACCCCTCCTAACCACCTCCCACCTTATTGCCATTCATTCCAACTGTCAGTCTTCATTGTCCAGCAACCCCCCTCACTGCCCCAGTCCCGGGGCAGCCTTCCTTTTGCTTTCTGGTAGTATCAAGCATTCCATGCCGCTGTCATCGTCATTCCAGCTCACTGCCACAGCTCCTAGCTGTTTGTTGTTGTTGTTTTGACCCACCAACCAACCCCTTCTTACTGTCTTTCAGCTGACCAACCTCCACATTTCCCCATCGCAGTCCCCTTCAACTTCCTCTTCCTCCTCCTACAGCCATCCACCGCCTCATCACCTTCCTCCTGTCATCCACCAAACCGACTACCACCTTCGGATACATTTAGTTGTGTTTGCTTGGTTTGCTATTGTATTTCTTTGTCAAGTGTGTGTGATTGCAACCTCCTATTTGGCTTTTACAGTTATAATATTTACATTCCTATTGTTTGGGTTAACTCCGGTATCACTCTACCTTGAACTTAAAGGATGGGTTTAAGAGTTTAAATTTGTGCTTGTACATAAAAGGCATGAAATCTAGAGTATACATTTTGAAAAAGGAAAAAAAAAGGTATTGAATGTCATATAAAAACGGAAGATATAATATTTCTAACGAATTGTGCAGTCTGAGATGATATATCTGCTATATTAAACTGTTAGAGGGTAATTTAAAATATTTCTTTGATGCAAATCTCATCAAATCCAATCTTTACAACATTCAACATCAAATTTGCTAAGTGAAACATATGATTCAGCACTATATGCAAAAACACACACTCGAGAGTGTATGTAGATGAGTTGTGGCTTAGATTTGAGTTAAAGAAAAAGTTGGAAAAGTTCAAAATATTACACATATTTTAAAGCAACTGAATGTCCCTTGAGGTAAGGCAAGATTGAGTTTGTCGCATTTTTTGTCCATGCCACATTCTTTGATTTCAAGTTAAGCATTCAAAACATTTGTCAGAGCACATGTAGACAAATTTGATTTATCCACGAATTTTTTAAACAATTCTCAGCTTTTGCAATAATCAACCGTATGATTTCAGTAAAAAAGAATCGCATTCGCATGAATGCACAGCCATTTGGGAAATATAGGAGCCTGTAGTGATGGTCGTTCACGTGAATTCACTATCATCAAGACATGCAGTTGACATTGCATTTTGGGTTTATTATTGATCGCATTTTGTCTACTTATATGTTTTAATTTTCATATTCGAGTTTGAATGTCATGAGTAAGAATCCATTAACTATTTTTGAAAAGGCACAATTTGTCTATGTATGGCTTGTACTTTACTCAAGTAGGTCTCACAGAAAATAATTCTTCCATCTATAAATAAAATCCATCTTAGTTCAATTTCATTTTCAAGCTCAATTCATTAATTATGTTCTTAAGGGTTTTGATTAGTTGAGAGAGTTATTATTTTAGTGAGAAAGTTTTGTGTTCATAAGCGAACTCTCAAGTAAATTAGAAAGTCCCCTATAAATCCAGTTCAATTCTTGATTTTGTGATGTCATTTTGCAAATTCATTTAATATTGTATTTGCAATTATTTTTCATTTTAGTTATGTTCTTTAGTCTAGAAATTCATTTAAGTTCGTTTTATTTCAAACTTTTAAAAATTTCGACAATCTCCTGACATCTTCCCTGTAGATAAGATATCATTGGGAGTCCGTTCATATCTATCATGCCAAGAAAGATTTGTATGACTAGTATTTAAGACACTAAGATCAGCTCTTCTACCCTACCATGATAA